TGGTGGGAAAGATGGTGGAATAAGAGAACATCCTTATCCTAAGTACATATATGATTGCACAAATGGTGCGACTCTATATCAGGTACAACCAGAGAAATGAAAAGTTGTGCTCCAGTTGTGTACAATGAATTGAAACGTATTCTGCTGTCATGTACAACTAATTAGAACAAATAAAATTTTAAAAAAGATGCTGGCAAGGTAGAATTCACTCCAAGGCCTCTTTTGGAGGTTTGTAGCTACTCTCAGGAGCTGTTTTCTTGTGCACATACATGTAGGGGAAGAGAGAGAGAGAGTGCAACCGCACATGCCCACAAACTCGCTGGTGTTGCTTCTCAAGATTTTGAAAATAATATTTTCAACAATAAAATTAGTGACCAATTGAATTTTTATTTAAGTTTGATACATGAAAACTGACAAAGTGATTAATCAGAGGAGATTCATTTTTTAGACATAACAGTAATGTTAGCATTAATGCAGGCTTTTTATATATTTTTAAATCTATCAACTCTTAATTTTTAGATCTGGTCAGTTCATTGTCCTGTTTAATTCCCCTGTCTTCTTACTCTTACTTATTTTCTGTCTCATTTTTCTATCCATATTGAGAGTAAGTTATTGAAATCTCCATTTACTATTGTAAAACTGTTTCTCACTCCAGTTTTGTCAAATTTTTCTTCCTAGGTGTATAAATGTTTATATTTGTTTGATCTTCTTGCTATAGTGAACCTTTGATTAAATATAACATCCTTCATTGTCTCTTATAATGATTTTTTATTTGAAGTTTGTTTTGCCTGTTATTAGCATAGCCCCCCCACCCTTGTTGTATTTTGGTTACTTTTTGCAAGAAATACCTTGTTTCATCATCTCATTTGCAAATAATTTGTGCCTAGACAGCATAAACTGGGATCATTTTTAATCCATTCTGCTAATCTATCTTTTGAATGGTGAGTTCATTCCATTTATATTCAAAATAATTACTGATAAGCACTTTAATCATGTTACTAATTGTTTTCTATGTGCTTTACAGCTTTTTTGTTTCTCATTTCCTGCATTACTGTTTCTTTTGTGTCTAGTTGATTTTTTTTGTAGCAAAACATTTAAATTCCTTTTTCATCTCTTATTGTATCTATTCTTCAGCCATTTCTTTTGTGGGTATCACATTTAACACAATAAAGTTAGAACTTCTAATTTGAATTTATATCAGCTTAACTTCAATAACATAAAAAGGTCTCCTTGAAAAGCTCTTCCACCCTTTTCGGTTGTGTCACAAAATGATACATTTATACACTGTCTATAAAAAGCATGAAATAATAATCTTTTAATGCATTAGTCTTTTAAATTCTGTAGAGGAAAAAAGTATAGTTTTACACAATTGCAACAATACTACTAGGTTTTATAATTCTTATGTTTTTACCTTTAATTATATCTGTATTTCTTTAGACAGTTTCTAGTTATTATCATGTATCCTTTTATTTCAACCTGCAGGACTCTCAGTAGCTCCCATTAGCATTTCTTGTAGGACAGGTATAGTGGTAATGAAATCTCTCAGCTTTTGTTTATCTATTTATGAATGCCTTAATTTCTCTCTCACTTTTGAAGGATTTTTTTTTTTTTGCCAGAAATAGGATTCTTTTTTGGATGTTTATTTTGTTTGAGCGACTTTGAATACTGGATCACTGCTTTCTAACCTCTAAGGTTTCTGACGAGAAATCTGCTGATAACCTTATTGAGCATCTCCTGTATGGAATGAATTATTTTTCTCTTTGTTTTCAAAATTCTTTTTCTCTTCACCTTTCAACAGTTTAATTATAATGTGTCTTGATCTGAGTCTCTTTGACTTTACCATACTTGGAGTTGTTTAAGTTACTTGAATGTTTATGTTTTTAATCAAATGTGGTACATTTCAACCATTGTTTCTTTAAGTAATCTCTGTCTCTTAATTTTCTCTCTTCTCCTTTGGTGGTTATTGAGACAAGGCATATGTTGGTTCCCTTGATAAAATCTTCTTGGTCCCTTGGACTCTGTTCTCTTTTCTTCAGTTGTTCTTTTTATTATATTTTCTTCAAATTTATTGGTTCTTTTGCCAATAAATATGCATTTGAATCCTGTCAGTGAATTTTTTTCATTTCACTTATTGTATATTTTTTGCTCCAGAATTTCTTTCTGATTTTTTAAGTCTTCTATTTCTTTATTGGTATTCTACTCTCTCTCTCTCTCTCTCTCTCTCTCTCTCTCTCTGTATGTATGTGTGTGTATATATACACACACACACTACACACATACATTTACCATGATTTTCTCTAGTTCTTTTTTTCTTTTTTCTTTTCTTTTTTAATTTCCTAACATTTTTAAGATTATTGTTTTAAAGACTTTGTGTGGTAGATCTGCCATTATTTCTTTTTCAGAGACAGTTTCTGTTGGTTTATTGTTTTTCCTTTTGAATGAACTCTATTTCCCTCAAATACCTTGTGTGTTTTTTGCTGTTATTTGTAAGCTGTACTTTGAATCTGATAAGTTGTAACTCTGGAAATCAGATTCTCACTATTCCATACTAATGTTTGCTTTTTTGTTGTTATTTTAAAAAAATATTATAGACAATCTCTGTGTAGCTCGAGATGTAAACTCCAGAATTCCAAAACAATTATATTAAGTTCTGTTCATTCACTTTTTGTCTAGGTGGTGAAACAGATTTCTGGTGTCTCTTTTTTTTTTTTTTAAAGAGAGAGTGAGAGAAAGAGAGAGAATTTTTTTAATATTTATTTTTTAGTTTTTGGCGGACACAACATCTTTGTTTGTATGTGGTGCTGAGGATCGAACGTGGGTCGCATGCATGCCAGGCGAGCGCGCTACCGCTTGAGCCACATCCCCAGCCCCTCTGGTGTCTCTTACTCCCAGAATCCTCGAGGTTCTGTTTTTTAAAGTGCCTTCATATTTAGTCTATAATGATGTTGATCCTGTAAGTCAAGTTCTTGTCATCACTCACTTTATGGGTAATAAAACTTGGTGGCTTGCCCACTACAACTAATGCCTGACAGAGCCAACACTCATTTCCATATGTCTTTTAACTCGGTAGAACCCCTGCCTTGATGTAGTAAAGACCAAGGGTTAATATGGAAGTCAGGGAAGCAGAGCCTCAGATTCCAGAGTAGTGCACCAGGATCTACTGTGCAGAGAGGTGAAGTGTGAGGTGGACTAAAACTAAATACTGAGCCAAGAGCTGAAACTGAGAGTTGGAACTGAAAGCAGAAAAAGCAGAATACAAAGGAGAATTTGGGGGCAAGAGCAGCTTGGAATTCTCTAAGGAGACAAGACCAGAAGAAATTTATGAGGTTTGTTTTTAGTCCAGCCCAATAAGTATGTCCATTTAAAGCTGAGATTTTCCTCTACTGGTCTTAAAAGTACATAGCATTCTGGGCCTGAATTTTAGCAGGAATAGGAAGGTCACTTATTTGTGTTTTGCATGAATTACACAGCCATATATCAAAGTATTTCAGTGGTGACACAATTTTATGTATTTCTAGGTTTGCCTTTCAGAACACATTTTTGAAATTTGGACATTGATGAAAATGTTCTGTATCTGTCACATTTCAAGAGCTCGGTAGCCACATGGCTTTGTGGTTAGTGGTTACCATATTGGATAGGTCAGCAAAAATGGATTCTCTTTGTCTTAAAAAAAAGAGGGGAGGGAAGCTTTTCCAAGTAATACATGCACATGTAAAAATACTGAAAATATTCAAAAAAGTGAAAAGTAAAAGTTTTTTCCCTTGACTTCTCTTAGCTGCTTCTTTTTTTTTTTTCTCTAATGATATCTACTATTAAAACTTTCTTTTGTATATCAGGTGCATATGTGACTGTATAACAATGAATTCCACTATCATGTATAATGAATGCACTAATAAAAGAAACTTTCTTTTGTATCTCTTTAGGAAAAGTGTATTCATAACAATTTTTTATGTATATGGTTTATCTATGTGTGTGTTTGTACACACACACACACGCACACACACAGGGGATTGAATCCATGGGTGCTTTACCACAGAACGACATCCCAGTACTTATTTTTCATTTTGAGACAGGGTTTCACTTTGTTGCCCAGACTGGCCTCAAACTTGGGATCCTCCTGCTTCAGCCTCCCAAGTTGCTGGGATTACAGGCGTGTACCACCAGACCCAGTTTGTATATGCTTTCCATGAGTTAAAAAAGTTTATTATGTTGGGAATAGTGTTTTATATCTGTTTTAAAAATTTTAAACTGTATCTGGAAGCTTTTGGTGCAGTACTACACATATTTCTATCTTCCTCTTATTAAAGGGTGCCCAGTGTTCCATTGTTTGGAAATGGAACTTATCAGTTCTCTATTCATAGGCTTTTATAATATTTCTAGTTTTTCCCCAAACAATGTTGTAATATATTCCTAACTATACACTTGTTAGATCAAAGGATAAGAGCACAGCTTCTCAAAGAGGTCTCTACAATGGTCTTCTGTAAAGTGTGATGTTTCTAAGCAAGGAGGGTATATAGAGTTTGGGACTAGGGTAGGGCACAAATAATGCAGACTGAAAAGAAAAGGAAACAGAGTTAATAAAAGATAAAGAAACTCTGGCTCTGTGATGGGAATAATAAATATTTGTATCAATAATTTTAAAAGTGGCCCTTAAAATTTAATTAGTACATTCCTTCCTGGGAATGCCTAAGAATAATACTTTAAATGTCAATATGCTGAATTGTAATTTTTTAAGTAAAAAAATTGTAACTGCTATTGTCTTTAGTTTTATTGTAAAGATAGTGCACTTTCGTTGCAAGTAATTTAAAAAATGCAAAAAAGTATAAATTAGAAAACATTTCATCTATAATATCACCACTTAGAGAACCACTATTAGTATATGATATTTTTGCCTGTATATGTTTTCACACAGCTGAGATCATATGTATTTATATCCAAACATCTTGATAATGTTGATTTTATTTTCTTTCATTATTCTTTGCCTGCTTTCTTTGTTTTAGGTAACAGAAATCTAACGTCATTTTGGAATGAATTTGGATACCAACATAGCAAGGACATGGAGACATCTTTAGATTCTCTTCAGTATCAAAGAAGACAAGCCATGGCCATCCCATTCATGGTACAGTGTGGTATGTATATAATTCCATTCTAGTTACCAAATACTAACGAATATCTAAATACGCAAGTCATGGTGTTAAGAAATGGTGGATTAGGGAGATGAAGATGGGTAAGCCATGGTCTTTGCTTTCAGGGAGGTTACAGTCTAGAAGAGAGGTTAAAATAATTGTAGTAGGGGAAAAGTCAGTTGAACAGTTGGGTCTTAAACCTCAACTAGATCAAGCTAGACAATACCAGTGCCTTGCTGGCCTCAGCTCCAAGACTTCTCCCTGGCTGGGCACTTCCTCCTTCACCATAGACAGGAATTAGTATCAGGTATACATCTCAGCTTGACTATTTATAGTGGAGTCATAGAAACAGCCATTTTTCTATTTTTAATATGTAGTACTCAGTCTAATTCACAAGGACTTTGTAATTGTCAGCTTAATGCATAAATAATGACTAAATAATCAAAGACAAAAATATTATGTTGGATAACATGTTATAGGGCCTTGAATTCTAGGATAAGTTTTAATTTTAATAAGTAATAAGGAAGCATTGGGCATTTTTCAATGGAAGCATTGATTTTTCAATGGAAGAAATTTTCACTGAGCGCTTGGTCTGCTTTCTAGCTATGAACAAAGTGTTATGGAATTGAGGACAGTTTATGTTCTTTGGCAAATAGTCCAATAGAGAAAATAGACAAGCAAACACTAAAGACCCCTATAGCATGTACAACTTCATAGAAGTCTTGACACAGTGCCAGGGGCACCTCCCCAATCCTTTGCCTAGGTGGACCCATCTAGCAAGGTGGAACTTGTATGTAAGTCACCTCAGTGAAGGGTGATTTGTGGAGGGTCAGACAAAGGGAGGAGTCACACCTCTGAGGATCTTTTGCAATCTAAGATCCATATGAGAAATTGTAAATGTCCGAACTAGTGTGTGGCAATAAGACTTTAGAGGAACACATGAAACAGATATTTAGAAGGTCTGAGGAAATCAATGAAAGTATCTGACAACCTATCAGAATATAATAATGGCTAATAATTACTTTATATAGTTTTGATGTGCCAGATACTGTTAGAATTTTACTGTAGTACCTGAGGTCTGGATGCAACAGGGAAAAATATTTGTCCTCTCAAAGGCTCAGTTTCTTCATTTATAGAATGAGACTAGTACTTGTAGTTCCATTGTGGAGGTGTTGTGAGAATATTGTGCATTAATAAGTGTGAAGTTTCCTAACCCTTAGGAAGGTCTTTAGCAATGTCAACTTTTATCATCAACATCATTATGCCATTTAACCTTTAATAACCTTTATAGATAGGTGCTAATGTTAATCATTTTCACAGACCACCATACTGAACATAGAGAAGTTAAGTCATTTGTCCAAGATCATAGAAGTTGTAAGAGCTGGAGCTGTTCAGGTTTTAAACCACCATGCAAACTGTCCCTGTTGTAGATGAACAAAGACAGGTTATTAACTCAATAGCAAGTAGCACTGTGTCAAGAGGGAATCCAGATTCGATTTAAGTGTAACCTAGAGAGAGTGATGTACCCTGGCCTACAGGCCAGCAGGGTCTGTTAGGGGAAATGGACAATCAGAAACTTCATACTGAGACTGGAATAAGAACAAAGGAAAGTACAGAAGAAGAAAATGCATAAATGACTTAGAGGCCTTGATTTTCCTTTGTTAGTCTTGTGGTTGGCGACAGCAAGTGGTGGTGTCAACAATTGAGGAAGAGGCCAGAGGAAATGGGAGAGTCAGGGTCACTGGGATTCATAATGTGGTTTAAGAAGAGGTAGAGTGGAATCTATTAAGGGTCTTCTGGCTAAAAGTAGCAGAATCCAACTGGAAAGAATTGAAGCCATAGTATTAATAGTAACAACTACATTTCTTGATAGCAGCTTAAAGTAACTCATAGAATTCATCAAGCAAAGTGATGTGAGATGAAGGATTCTCTACTTTGGTGGATGTAAACTTGACAGATTTCTGTGACAGATTCATTTCTGATATGGTCTCTTGTGTGTGTGATTTTGTTTTGCTTATCAGATCTTTGCCTTAAATGGAGAGTCTTGCCTTCCTCTATGAATTATCAGGAAAAAGAATTTCATGACATGTGGATTTGTGCTAATAATCCTAACCTCTTGGAAAACAGGTAGTTTTTAATAGTTTTTTAAAAAAATTCTTTGTCCCTGCTTATTTCCTGAAGTCCACATTATGAAACTGGAAAATGTCAGTGATAGATTTTAGCTTAGTAGCTGGTCTCTAGTTGAACTCTTTCTAGCCCCTTGCTACTTGTGAAAAGATCATTTTGTTAGTGTGCTTTTCTACTGGATGAAAGCGATCTGGATGTGGCAATCTGCACGTGTCGGGCATGCAGTTCTGCACTTCCACAGGCAGAGGCTACAGGCTCCTGAGTTCTGCCTTCCAGTTCATTTCCCACACAGCATACAACCTGATCTTACAGGAGTCTGACCCAGGGTGTGTATCCAGGGGCATTAAACTGATAGACCATGTGCCTTTCCTATTTAAGTCGTATATTGATTTCATTGCTTCATGCTCTTAGAGAAAGAAGTTTAGACTAAAACAGGAAAAAGACTGATTAAATATTGATGAATGTCAATGTTATTACAAGCCCTTTTAGATTAATATTCTTTCCCTAGGGGAGAAAAGAACTAGTACTCCTCTTTAACAAAGGCACCCCTAACTCAAACATTGCTTCCACACAGTTAAGTCCACCTAAGTGGATCAATATTGCTAATTTAGACATTGGGGTAATAATTCCTGTTTGGTTATTTTTATCCAGCTCTGAGAAAAAGAGCAAATGTTTTTTAAAAATAGTACATATTTAGAAACTGCTGTTAAACCCTTTCTGCCTAGAGTCTCCAGGTTCGTCATGTTTACAGAATGAAGGAAAATGTCAGGGGGTATAAGGGCTTTTATATTTCACATGACCTGGAGGTTTTTCACTCTCCCTTTCTTGTTTTGAAACATGACCTGTGTTTTCCCAAGTAAAATTTGTCACAGAACTGAAATACATACAACAGATAGATGCAGAACTAGTTGAATGGGAGGCTGGAAACTGAGGACCAGAGGTAGCCACTTCCCATTTCTGTCCCCTACTCTCTACAGAAGGCTGAGTGCTCCAGGGAACATGACTCTGAGACACACATCTAGTTTCACTTCTTCATTGAGAAACATCAGAATCAAAGCCCAAACCTGTGACTAAGACAGCTATTCATGAGCCCTGACCAGGATCCTTTGACTATTATTCTACTTTGAGTGTGCATCCCCCTAAGGAAGGTGACCAGGATCACCATCAACTTGACCATCAACTTGAGTCCATCCCTAACTTGGCACTTAAATGTCTCCTAAATAACAACACAGCATTGGCTCAGTTTCAATATTTAGAATAATTAATGATATTAATCACTTACCATGAGCTAAGAACTTTTCCCAGAGCCTACGATTATATTTAGAGTCCAAACTCTGGGGCCAGACTGCCCAGGGTTTGACTCCGAGCTCCACTGGCTCATGAAACCTGATCAAATGAGATAACGAACCTCTCTTTATCTTGGCTTCCTCTTTCTTAGAATGGGATATAATAAAGAATCTCAGTGCATTTTCTCCAAGTCCTGTGATTCACTTATCAGGACAATCTACAGAATGTTCCTGGCCTTTTGCAGGGGAGTTGGAGAGGGGCTTGATAACAGACGGCCGGGATTGAGGCTACTCCCACAGATTTAACCCCATAGCTGTGACTTTGACCAATCTGGGGTGTCAGCCTCACCGAACAGTCCTTTACAACTTCCTTTATTTACAGTTTACCATGGTCCCTGAATTGACTCATTCTCATCCTCTTCTTTGAAATGTAGGAATACCACTGCAGAACTTTGTAGAATAAGTTTCAAAGCTACATTAATTGTCTCTTACACATCAGAATAACACCACTTGTGAAGAGAGAGGCAAGACAAATTTAGTCGTGTTGACATAAAACTAACAGACTTTAAAATATATAAAATGCAAAAGTGTTTATAATTTTTTAAGTTCTTGTTTCTTTAAATACACCAACATAATATTGACCATCTGTATTTCATTTCCACTGAAGACTGTGATAAAAATATTCATAAAGTGGCAGAGGAGATTTAGGGGAGATGTAAAGAAAAACTGATTCGATTCCATTGTATTCATTCAAAGATTTGGGGATATAATGAAATTTTAGTATACAATACAACCCATACATATTTTTAAACATCTTTTCCAAAATTACTTTTGAAGTTAATTGAGAGCACTTAAATGTCTCTTGGGGAGAAAGAAATTTGTCTGGTTCCCTCAGTCCTCTATTTCAATATGGTAGACTGGGCCTTGCTCCTGCTAAGGTATGCCTTGAAATATTCCCTGAGTCATATGTACCATTAGATTTGAATAGATCATGTAAAATAAGTGCATTAAATTGATGAGGAGTGAAATAAAGCTGTTTATTAGACAACATTGTATGAGTACAGGAACAGAGTAATGAGGTGAAAAGTGGCATTGTCTGTATTTACAGAAAATATAGCTTGTTGTCAGTAGTTAATTGCCACTCGTCACAGGCTTGGTGGCAATAAAGAGCATTTGAATAAACAACGTCCATGTTGTTGGAACAGAACTTGGATCAGAAACAGAATAAGTTCTTTTATAAGTTCTATGAGCTTTCCCCGTTTCTCAGAGAAGAAAACAGGTGTGCTGAGAAAGGTTCAGTGCCTGGCCCAGGATTCCTCTTTAGCGCTGAACTGGAAGCCAATGTTCCGAAGCAGAATCTATACTCTTTCTGCCTTACCAGTCTCTCTCAGAAAGCATCCTTTTACATTTCAGGAAGCCCAGTTCCATTTAAATACTTTATAGTGACCAAAATACACCATTTTTACAAGTGGTAGTATTCAGGGTCAATAACCTGGACAGGGTAAAACGGAGACATTCTTTTTCAAACCACCAAAGCCTCATTTTGTTTTCTACTTTGGGCACAGAGGAAGGCTGGGTATTGATTGTTATCACAGTGCCTGAGAAATAGGTATCAGTACACTTCCATTACGTTCATGCTATGCATTTATCTGCATTGAAAATAGGAATCATTTTACCAGCAGGGTAAAAATGATGCCTTTTACTTGGCTGAGCCAAAAAAAGTCTCAATTTTGAAAAGGATGTTAAAAAAACATCTGTGGGTTGTATTGCATATCCAAATTGTATTATTTTCAAAAATAAATTTTAAATGAAGACAATTGAATGGGCTTAATTTTAATAAAATACTTGAGGTTTTTCTTTTATGAATTAAAATTTGCTGTTGCTGCAAGGTTCTTTTCTCAAATGAAATAGAAGCTTATGTAAGTACCACCCCACAGATGTCTTCAAATCCAAACTATGGGTGGCAGTATATATAGTAGTTGTCCCTAGAATTTGTTTACCTAGCACCTTTCTTTGAAAGTAACAATAATAGCAAACACCATATGTGGGTGGAACTAAGTGTTTTTTTTTCACAGTAGTGCGTGAATTTGATTGTCGTTTCTCACTCTTCTCTGTTGGTAGAGGGCAAGAAAAATATATGCTGTAGCCCAGAAAAACAGAGAAATGGCAGTTTTCATTTGCTTCACTGTTTTATTTTATTTTATTTTTTTAAATTTTTTATTGTTGGTTGTTCAAAACATTACAAATTTCTTGATATATCATATTTCACACTTTGATTCAAGTGGGTTATGAACTCCCATTTTTACCCCATATACAGATTGCAGAATCACATCAGTTACACATCCATTGATTTACATATTGCCATACTAGTGTCTGTTGTGTTCTGCTGCCTTTCCTATCCTCTACTATCCCCCCTCCCCTCCCCTCCCCTCCCCTCTTCTCTCTCTACCCCCTCTACTGTCATTCATTTCTCCCCCTTGTATTATTTTTCCCTTTCCCCTCACTTCCTCTTGTATGTACTTTTGTATAACCCTGAGGGTCTCCTTCCATTTCCATGCAATTTCCCTTCTCTCTCCCTTTCCCTCCCACCTCTCATCCCTGTTAAATGTTAATCTTCTTCTCATGCTCTTCGTCCCTACTCTGTTCTTAGTTACTCTCCTTATATCAAAGAAGACATTTGGCATTTGTTTTTTAGGGATTGGCTAGCTTCACTTAGCATAATCTGCTCTAATGCCATCCATTTCCCTGCAAATTCTATGATTTTGTCATTTTTTAATTCGGAGTAATACTCCATTGTGTATAAATGCCACATTTTTTTTATCCATTCGTCTATTGAAGGGCATCTAGGTTGGTTCCACAGTCTTGCTATTGTGAATTGTGCTTCACTGTTTTAGATGAAAGGCCTTCTTCCTCTCCTCACCATCTTCTTCCTCTCCTAGCCTAACATACATGCATTTTTCTACAAACTTTGACCCTTCCTCCTCTTTTTGGTAACCAAGTGAACCTCCCACCACCTCTCACCTATCAATAATAGAAAACTCCTTAACCTAGAACTTGACCAAGACCTGACCTCAGCATTTCACCCTCCTCCTGCTCCTCCCTGCTATGCCCTGAGTCAGCCCTGTGTCCAGTGGGAAATGAACTTGCTGTCCATGTCAAGCCTTGGTACCAAGGTGAACAAAATAAAGTCTCTTGAACAGTTTGGCTAACTCAGTTTCCCAGAATATAGTCACCAAAGCAAAGGTAAGGAGGAAAAATGGCCTCAAACCTCCCAAACATATGTCTCCAAAGTGTCTCTCTCTCTCTCTCTCTCTCTCTCTCTCTCTCTCTCTCTCTCTCTCTCTCTTTTGTAACCATAATGAGGAAAGTACTTACACACAGAATTCTACCTGAGTCTAGTACAGAGGCTGGGAGGTAGGGTGACTACCAAGTGCAGACACTGACAGCAGCAGAGTGTTAGGGAAGCATGCTGTAGTCAGACATCGGAGCCATTTGGTGACAGGTCTAAAATCTCAAGACACCCCCACACCCCGCCCTGCCCAGACTAACACCTCATACTGCGTCACAGGTCTTCTCAGTGATCCTGAGTCACCAAACAAAGGATTCGTGTGTTTCATAGGCATAATTAATTGATATATTTTAGAGAGAGATATATATTTCTACCCTTGATTTTTTGCGGGGGTGGGGGAAGTGTTTGGCAGTAATGAGATAAAGCTCAATGATCCAAAAAACGTTTTTGTAAAAGCCTTCATTTCATAATAATGTGGGATAAATGAAGCATTAGCAAAATAATGAATAGTCTCCCATCTTCCTAAATATATGCTACCCTCCTCCTTTTCCATTTAGCTTTTTTCCATGTGAATTGGAAATATAAGGTCCTATGTTACCTAAAGTCGTCAATATAATGATCTTTGTTTGCATTTGATCTTTAAAGACAATACAGAAAATATAATTCCTTGCTGAAGTAAACTATCTTTCACAGACAATAGATAGCTTTGCATTTCCTCCTGATGTTAATCTTTTACTTGTTGATTCTGAAGTTGTCGGCAGGTAGAACGTCTGCCTTCCATCCCCCTGGGCACCATGAGCACAGTATTACCATCAAAAAATGAGAAAGAGAAGCAACTTAGAGAGTCGGTCCTAAGGTATCAAAATAAACTGGCAGAACAGCAGTCACAGGTGAGCTGTAATTAACTCTTTACAAATTCAAGTGTGACTCTTGAGCTGTTGGTTTCATATGTGCAAATTGACTAATGTGGTTTATTCAAGAAAAATGTGTAGGCTCTTTTTTTCTTCCTTTTGTTATTTTCTTTTAATTTTTGATCTAAGAACTATTCCAGAGAGTGAGTCCAAGAAAGGTAGAGAGTTCTATAAAAAAAAAAAAACTTTGCACATGTGATACCTAAGCTTCTCAACGCAACAACAATGCCTGTGAGGAGCAGGAACATTTATTTTTACTTTGCAGCTGCAGGTGAAGTTTCATAGAGTTCAGCCAGCATGTCCAAGGTCACCTGGTCAAGATGGGGATATGAATCTATATGATTCCAAAGGTTAGGCTATTTCTGTTTCATTAGGATTCTTTCCTGAGGGTGGACATTTTTAGGTAAAGAACTTTTTAAAACAGTATTATCCTATTAACACAGAAAGTCAAAGTCATATTTATTTGTTAAGAAAACTCAATAAATAAAACATTAGTATTAATAAACATGGATAAGCGTAATAGTTTCTGGTGACATGTAGAAAAATTGTTTTATTTTCTTAGTAAAGTAATTATGTCTCTGTTTATTTTAAAGAGTTAGCATCCAAATTCAGTATTTTCACCTTTATTATGTATAGCCTGTCAGCTTTTTCAAATAGCACTTGAGATGGTCAGCAGCATATGTCCAAACATGTTGACTCCTCTGTAAAGGTCAGGAAATAAAAGGCTCATTAGAATAGAAAATTCTGTGATGGAGCTGGAGTCAAGACCCCCAGTCTTTCTGGACTCTTCCAAGGTAAAGAGTTTTACCTTCATATCTCTTACACCTGGTGAGAGATCTGAAGTGCAGGTCAGACACAGCATGAGATGACAGACACACCTGACCCTCCTTTAGCAGGGATTTTGGTCTGTCTTGGAAAGATCCTGAGAACCTCTTTGGAAACATTTTCTGAGCACTCCCATATCCAGACAATAGCTAATCTTTCTATACGAAGTGGAATTTCTAGTCATTGGTTTGGTAACAGAAGTCAGAGGTAAAGTTATTACAGCCTGAGATTATTGTAATAAATAAGCAAGTAGCTCAATTCAGATCTTCCCATTCTGGAACATCTTACTTATGTGTAGTTTCTTGTGTTGCTTAGCACTCCTTGCAGCTTTGTAAAGGCATGCAGCATATCCAGAATTGATTTTACTTTTTGGCTGTCTCTGGATTTTGTTTTTTCCTTTCCTCAAGAGGTCAGAGCAGACCCTTGGATATTAATAGTGTCAATCATGAAGACTTAATTAGCTTGTTTGTTAAGGTTTGAATGTTTTATTTATCATTGAGGTAGAAATTTTGATGGCAGCTGATGGAATAACAGATTTGGGCCTTCAGTTCCACTCAGTCTTTCTTGATAGTTGATTTTTCAGTAAAAATGTAAGCCAGGGTTATAGATTCAGTTTGTTTCAAATATAACAAAGAAGTTGAACAGTACTTATGTAGAAATCTACTGGTATTAGTTCAGAGGACATAAGAATCCTCACTATCCTTTTTTTTCCTTTTGTGAATAAAAAATTTCACAAGATCCATTTGTGAAAATAGCCCTAAAATCTTTAAATACTTTCTCATAATCATTGCCCTTAAGTAACCTACCCATAGGCAATCAACCAATTTTGAGGTGGTCACTGAATACAAACTTGTCCTTTAGGCTGTTCCAGGCAAGGCATTGTGGGGAATTCAGAGTAACCCTAATATCAGATTGTACCTTGAGAACAGGGATAGTCTCAGCTATACTTACTGAGACTCTGTGTTACCTAAAACAATGCCTGGCACATAGGTAAAACACACATCCGGACAATATACCAACCTCAAAGAAGTTTAAAAAATAGTAATCACTAATAAGGCAATCTTAGTTCCATACTTGTCTGGTCATACCGGACACTGTAATAGAAATTTGTTATAAGATAGTAAGGGTGCTGTCAAAGAAAGTTCCATAGAGGAGATGGACAGGAACTTATGCCTTGAGTCTATTTAGGGTAAATAGAGGGAAATGGACTGAGCTTTCCAGTTGACAACAACATAAAGAAAATCTTGTAAATGAGCACTGATTTTTTCCTTCATGGAACCAACCTTTCAAATTACCTGCCAAGCTTAAGTCTTTTAAAAATAAACCCAGTACTTATATGGTGGATCAGTCTTTTTAAAACAATGCAATTCTTTATTAAATATGGTCATTGCTGAATAGGAGATTCTGAAAGGTCACCTTAGTTCCCCTTCACAAAAATAATCCATCAAACTGTTCAAAAACTCCATTTTGATGCTATCCACCTGATGCTAGCAAGAGGACTCACAATTATCTGATGCCGTGTGTGGATTTACCATGTTTCTGACTGTCATTCAGGAGAAGTGTTCTTAGGATGTGATCTAAGAACAGGTGGGGACGCCAGAAAAGCAGGGCTCTGGTTCTGTTCAGGTGCAGTGTAGACAGGTTCAAGTGTGGACGAGATGCCTCTGGAAGATCAACCTAGCTTATCACTGTGATCCACTGTGTTTATTGCCCATTCTCTCAAGTCAGGAGACCATAAGTTTTATGCCATGTATGTTTTGCCCACCTCCACTTCTCTCTTCCTGCCTCCCACTACCAGCTGGGGAACAAGCAACAGAAATGACTTAAACCTGCTCACTTTATTTCATACCCTCTTACATTTCAGCTCTGATGGCAGCTGGCATCCTGATTTGGAAAATAAAGGCGGGGTTAGGTAAATCCAAGGTCTTTCTGGATCTCAGGCTTTGTGGTTCTAGGTGTTGTGTTACCAATACTCGGGAGAGTAGAGTGATGAGAGGAATGGTACTATTGTAATGGGAGTCCCAGCTTGCACACATCTCACCCAGGTGTAGGGACAAAGTCTGACTTCCACCAGTACCCCCTAAACGCAAATTTAGGATTTGTTTCCTTTTTTATTTTTGCCTCATTCCAGCCCAGTTTGTTCCTAGTCTCACAGGATAAATTCAGACAAAAGGACATAAGAATATTTACAAAGCAACAAACTAATTTATTGCAAATTGTATTTGTTAAAGGAAATAGCCAAGTTCAGTAAACCTAACAGGAGAGGGCAAACTCAAGAGCTATCATCTGTGGTGCATTTCATAGAGTAAAGGGCTGCCCTCATGCAATTGATAAGCTGTGTCGACAAGTCAAGACCCTCATTATGGGTTGTGCTGCTGAAGGACACATTCCAATCTTTCTTTTTCTGAATAGATGACAGAGTAATCTGTGCCTGACTCCACTCGGCTACATTCCTCATTACAAGCCGTTTCTATACTGAGTGACAAGTGCCACCTGCTGGCCAAATAAAGCGTTTCCCTTTTCACTGCGTCACTTGATTGCCTGGCTGCTGATTGGCAAATTAACTGGATAATTGTTATTCTGTTTTTCGTGTATCCAGACAATAACTTAAAAACCTTACAGCAAGTTATAAAACCAGCACCTGCGCATTTGAGGACTTTCTCAGTTTCGAGTCACAATTAGATTTCTCTTCTGCCTTCCATTTTATGACGAGGATGACTGTGCACACAGATTGTAGTTTTAGTTACATTTCATTCAGGATTTTTTTTGGTACTACTTAAAATGCATTTGATACTCCTCATCCCAATGAAAAGACAGATCATAACTTCATTTCCTGAATTAAATTACACTATATTGACCCCCATTGAATCTAGGTAATGTTACTAAGTATATATTTGTATAATCAGTCAGTTTGTGCAGAGAATACCTTATTGCTTAGGTATCCTCTAGGCCTTTCTGAGTTAATAGTTCCTAATTAATGCTAAGTTGTTATTCCAGTGTTCAGGCTCACTCTAATCTGACACGCCTTGCCTTTCTAGCTTCACTTTCTTCCATTCTGCATGGTGCTTTTCTGAGCTGCTCTGTGTCCACACACCCCCACACCACTCCCACCCCGTGATCTCCACTTCTACTCTGAGTGCCTTTGTCCCCACCATTCTTGTCTGTCCTGGCTTCTGGTCCTCCCCAGTCCCTCAAGATCCAAAACCAAAATGCCAAACCCTTATGAAATCTTCTATTTTCCTGTCCGAAAAAACATTTCCTTCCTTTCAATTCTTTTCGTCCTGTGTATGCCCTTCTTAGAGCATGTTTTTACCTTCTACCTGGTATATTATGGCTACTTATGCATCCAGTCCATCTCCTACATTAGACTATAATGGCCCTTTCTTTGAAAATAAAGAATGATTTGGTGGGGGGTGGTGTACTGAGGATTGAACTCAGGGACACTGGGTCACTGAACCACATCCCCAGCCCTATTTTGTATTTTATTTAGAGACAGGGTCTCACTGAGTTGCTTAGTGCCTGACTTTTGCTGAGGCTGGCTTTGAACTGAGATCCTCCTGCCTTAAACTCCCGAGCCACTGGGATTATGGATGTGTGCTACTGTGCCTGACAAGAATGATTTTTTATTCATCTGGGTATTCTCATCAGAACATAGGCCAGGATTTTTCATGTAATACGATTGACCAAACAATGAATGAAGGGTGGAAGGAATAATTTGGTTCATAAAAAATTGGCTTCACAAGACAAACAATTTTTATTTGATCAGATTGGCTGAGTATAGGTTGAAACTTACTGACTTTTGCATATATTATTGGAAACTAAAATGTTCTTACATTTGTTCACAATAAAAGAGTTATGTTTGGGATTACAGAGGCTGAATTTGGATTTCATTTGTTATGTTCCCAGCCTTCCCACCAAATGAATATCCCTCATAAAATCCCATGCCTATGGAAAAGGAACTTCAGCAATAGCGTCTGATTCTTTTACAGTGCTTATATGGACTCACAAAAAGAAAAATGAAATGGTATAATCTAGCAATTCCCATGTGGGTTGTTTTAGCAGTAAAATGTAGAGCAAAGGCGGCTTGATGAACTTTTAGCTGTGTGTTTCAAATTGAAATTGCATATTGAGTACAACTTTGTAATGAAGAATGTGAACACATTTTTCCATTTTAGAGTTTAATCTTTTTAATGCGTCATTATTGTGCAGGATGCCGAGATCTCCGATCTGTGTAACTATAGTGACAGATGCCTTTGAAAACATATTTATTCATCCAGAGTACTTTTCATCCTCCTTACATAAACTGCCATGATCTAAAATTTATGACACCAAAAGACCCTTGTCTTTTTTTTTATTGGTTGTTCAAAACATTACAAAGCTCTTGACATATCATATTTCATACATTAGATTCAAGTGGGTTATGAACTCCCATTTTTACCCCAAATACAGATTGCAGAATCACATCGGTTACACATCCACATTTTTACATAATACCATATTAGTAACTGTTGTATTCTGCTACCTTTCCTATCCTCTACTATCCCCCCTCCCCTCCCCTCCCATCTTCTCTCTCTACCCCATCTACTGTAATTCATTTCTCTCCTCGTTTATTTTCCCATTCCCCTCATAACCTCTTATATGAAATTTTGTATAACAATGAGGAAGACCCTTGTCTTGCAACAGGCTATTATACTCATTGTAGTTGAAATATTTTACTTTATTACTTTTGCTACAAAGATCTCATTCCTCTATGGTGATGCATTGCTTTCCCAAGAGGGATAATGCCTCATGTGTTCACACTTGTGGGCCCTGGGTTCACGGCATACCAGATGAGATGGTAAAAGAATTGATGATGATTAACGAGTCCAGAAGTCCCCCGAAGGCAAGCATCAGGTGCTGCTCCTCTTCTCTGTGCTTCCCACCACCACCACATCTGGCTCCGCTCTGGGCAAGTAAGTACCTAGCAGAAGCTGTTCCACTTCTCAGTTCAAATTGCTTGTCTAAATTCTTTCTTACTCATCCCTTCTCAAGTAGTTGATGTCACACTTCCTTGACAAAAGAACATTTTTAGTTCACTAAAAGAAACCCAGACAGCCCCAGTGTTAGTGTGACATCATAGCAGCCTGGCTTTTGTGGCATGGTGTGGTTCAGGGAGCCCAAGATATTCTGTCTCTGGTTTCATAAGTCATCTTTTTTTCCTGGAGATGGGGACTGAGGAATACTGTTCACTGTCTGCTCCTGCCTTTCATGGAAGTGACTAAACACTGCTGCTCAAGGCCAAAATGAGTCTGAGTCCAGAGGGGACACAGCCTTTTTCTGAGAAGGTCAGAAACAGCTTTGACAGAGGCCAGCAGTCATGCCACAATACATCCCTGTCTGCATGCCTCACATTCCTGCTCACATCAACAGAGACAGAGAGGGGGAGAGAGGTTCCGGTATGTTGCCTGAAATTGTTTTCACTGGAGAGAATATTGATTTGGATTTTAATACAAATACACCTGTTTGATCTCTGCTCCACAAAAACTCCTTGAGCACCTGAACTATGTGTCCAACCAATTCTCAGCGAGTGTGCATGCCAAGCAAGGAATCTCAGGCTCCCTGGTATCCTGGATATACTTCAGGGCCTGTTTTCTGACTGCTGAGTAAAATACAGGTATTTGGCTTCCTTCTAAAGCAAGCTACTCCCCAGCATGCCTATGTCCTCCCACTCTGAGCTTGAATCTTGTTTGTCCTAATTTCTCCTCTTACTCAGGACCCAGCTTTGCATTTTGAATTCCATTTCAGGAAAGTGGACTTCATGGTTTCTGTTTCAGTTTTGAACTTAAACCCCTTTCATCACATCCCTGATTTACCATTGTTAAATCTTTGTCTCCTGGTAATTTATGGTTCCTTCCTCTGGCCCAACTCTATAGGACTAAGTGAAATTCAAAACTCAGGTCCTGTTTTCCACCTTGAATCTTGCCGATGTGTCTTTAAGACTCCCATTCCTTTGGCTGGTCTTCCCTGACCAGCTCCAGCCTCCTATGCAGGTGGGAAGACTGCGGACAAATGAGAGGTTTTCATATACCCCTAGAGAATAGGCCAGTGTTCGTCCATGACCTTTGTTCTACAGTGGTCTAGAATCATCTTTCTCCTGTTCAATAGAATCTCAAGAAGGCCCTCTAGATATGAGCTAAGACCACTGTTAATAATTCCTAGCATTTTAAGATAACTAAGTATTGTTTAAAATACTTCAGAACCAGGGCAAATCTAAGTCTGGTTTTTGTAGGCTTTTATATCATCTTGGGGACCACTATTTTAAAAAAAAGAAAACAGCATTATAAATACAAAGTTGTGCTAGGATCATGAAAGAAGTTCGTCTAGGGGAGGGGTACTGAAGTTTAGCTTCATTTGCTTCATGTTGCATCTGCCATTTGTTTCTAAATATGCAATACAATTTGATTGCCATGGGATATTTTAATGTACAAAGCAAAGACTTATCGTAATTCTAATTCCCTTTCTTCTTTCCAGTTTCTCCCTCAAGATTTCCATAATTCTGTATATTTTTGGTGATTTTAAAACTACCTGAATGATTATTATCACTCGACATGTCACATAGATGGAGGAGCTTAAATGAGAAGGCTGAATGGAAGCATTAAATACTAGCACTTAGAATGTGACCCTGTAAAAGGTGCTCTAAATGTACTGACTTATTTAATCCTGATGATGGTCGTATGGTTGTTTGATTCCTGTTTTATAAATGAGGAAGCTGAGACACAGGGAAGTAATTTGCCAAAGATAGAGTTAGGAACTGCAGAGCCCTGATTTCAACAAGTGCACTCTGTCTCCAGACCCAGCCCTCCTGCACTAAACTCTATTTCCTATCTGGATAAGGTCACATAAACAACTAGGAATAAAAGTAGATTTTACACATATGATTAATTTTAATTCGCAGCTGTTTAAACTACTGTGTTCTTCTTTGTTCACTTAAGATTGATACTTTTTCTGGGTAGGGAAAATTGAAAACAGCTAATACTAATTATATATATATATATATTTTTTTTTTTTTTTTGAGGAGCTCTGTGAATAGTAGGCAGATTTGGAGAGCAGAGTGGTCACTTTGGAAAGCTGTGCAGAAGGAGTGATGCTCAGGAGCTCGTTGAAGGAGGAAGAAGTAGCAGGAGGCAGTGACAGCACTGGCCTGGTGTCAGGGTACCTGGTTTCAGGTCCTGACTGTGTAGTGTATAAGTTGAGTGACCTCAGGTCTGTCTAATGTATCTAGTCCTCCATCATTAAATCACCCCCACCCCCAGCTCTGTAGAAAAAAGAGGATTAGGCTAGACACTTGCAAGGACCCACCCAAATTTTAGAACTATGAGCACTGGTTGCACATCTCCTATCCTAAGCTATTATTTTAAAAATATCTATGGTTATTAGTATTATTTTGAATGCAAATGTGAGAATAATGGAGGAGGGCAGATTGTTATTTAATTATAGTACACAATTATGTGGATTCCCCTTTACTCTAGTTCTTACCTCTAGGGTGAAGGATGCATGGAAGTAAAACCAGATGTTCTCCTGCATATGCACTGGAGTTTGTATTATAGGCAAGGAATTCTGAAAGAAAAAGAAAATTGAATCTGGGCATTTATATAGGACAGTGGCAGTCCTCACACTATTTTGCTCTTTGGAAGGAGCCTGGGCTTTTACTCTTATTATATGGAGTAAAAATAAGTTTTTCCAGGGTGAGATAAGACCAGCTTCTGCAGCTTTACAGCAAAGGTGCATCTCTATGGTCCCAGATCCTATCCCTCCCTTAGAATGTAAGCACACCCTCCAGAGACCACTGTCCCCAGGGAAGTCCCCCAGGTGCTGTCTCACTGATAATCAGTCATACATTAAGTTCCAGGATTCATTCCTTTTAGCCCAGGTCTCAAGTTCAGTAAAATGGAATCAGAAAGTACTAACTGCAGAAACACAGAAGTATTCTCTCTATAGTCCCACACAGCATGGGTATAGAATTAGAAAGGAGAATCTCCAAGGCTGTGAATCTAAGATTATTGGACCATCTGTTTAAGAACAACTTCACATGTTTGTAGAAAAGCAGATTCCTGGATCTACACCACATGGACTGAACAAATATCTCTAGAGCTGCAATTTCAAAATCCGGATTTCTGTCTCTTTCTCTAAATCGTTCACCACAGATATTTCCCTTTCATTCCTGGCTAAAGGATTCCTCAGTTTTTCCTGCTCCAGAGACAGTTCATTTTATGCAGCTTTCACTGATTCAGTTTGAGATTTACAGGTCTTTTTGAAATGTAATAGTTTTGTCGAAAGAGTTTATGACAGTCATTTAAAAATAACAGTGATATTTGCAAAATTTCCAGGGTAATTATTCTTTTTTGATATTTGAAAAGATGATGATGATGATAAAAAAGACACTATCATTAGTAAACAGCTACTCATTAAGTAACTGAGACAGAATTTGAAGTAGATTAACTGTTGACAGATTTCTATTTTGCAAAATGCAATCAAAGATATAAAAATGTATTCCTCAAATTTAAAAATGTGATTTTTAAAAAAAACTGCACTTTAAAAATTATAGGCCAACCCCCAAACCAATGCTGAATATCATCATCTATTAGCAGAAATATATTTTAGATGAAAACTCCATTTCTAATTGGAATCAAAGAGCAAATTTTTAGGTAAACTTTTTAACTTTTTTTTTTATTAAGGTCAACTTCATATACTACACTTAACATGCAAATTTATTTTAGTGCACTAATTATATATGTATTCCTATGTCCTATGTCAACAGAAGGTGTTTCAATTAAAAAAAACTCTTTTTTTTTTTTGTATTTTGCTTTGGTCTGTTGTCTTCCATTCTGCTGCATTATTTAGTTAAGTAGGCAAATATGTTTTTACTACTAATATCTGGGCTTTGTGCTAAATCCATTTGGGTTTTATAACTTAAAGGTTCTCATTTAGACCACTTAAACATAAGTTTTAGTACTGGTAAACACTGAGAAGTATCATATTATCTGATCAGACAGTGGAATAAAAATGTATAGTCATTAGGAAAAATAAAAAAAGGAAAATGTAATCTATCATTACCACCCAGCTAATCCATTCAAGTGGATTAGTTCACTGATTGTGTTAAGGCTCTCATAGCCCAATCATTTCACCTCTGACTCTCTTGCATTGTCTCACACTTGAGTTTTGGGAGGACACCTTATATCTAAACCATAACAAAGGGATGAAGAAGCTCTGTAAGTACTAAAAGAGAAAGAATGCTAGGAAATATCTTTAAGTGAAAAAGTAGGGTGTGGACTGTGTACATAATACACTATCATTTTTCCCTACCCCCAAAATGGGGAAATTTACATGTAAGTACACATATAAGTATATAATGTATAAACAAATCTCTGGAAAGATAAACTAGAAAGTGGTAGCAGTGGTTATGTGTTGGTGGACTATGAGCTGGGTAAATGCAAAACACAGTGGTAAGGAAATTTCTTTTTAATGTACTTTTAAAATGTATGTTGTCCCAATGTAAATATGTTATCTACATAAACATCTAAAAAGGAACAATGGCATGAGGGCATAGATGATAAACAGTTAATTGGGCAATTGGGGTAAGTATTTGGTGTGGATAATTTTTAAACTGAGATTGAAAGGGCGAGTGGAATTTGACAAAAGGACAGGCTTGCTAAGGCCATCCTAGGACGAGGAAATGGATTATTCAGAAGCAGGACAGCATGGAAGTGGGTTGTAAAAATGTAATTGGGCCTTCAGTGCATGAGGGCAACTTGGTGGAGGTGGATGGGGGATGACTCAGAAGAGGATTTCAAAAGCCCACCTGCAACTGTTTGAAAACAGTTCGTGTGTTGTGCCAAGTGCTGTTAGTTCCACTCAGTAACCCTGCACTGACTGTGTATGCCATTCCTTGTACTGTAGAGTGAGTCTCTACCCTCCAGGCTTGTGGTACTCCATTCCGACTGTATATTAGAATCCTTTGGAGAACATGTGAAAGGACTAAGCCAGGCCCCACCCCACATAATTAAATGAAAGTTTCTGATTGTAAAGACATGGCATCGTTTTTCTTTTTTAAAGGCTTATCAGATGATTCTAATAATATGTATCCAATTTTGAGAATGTTGCTCTTCTCTGCCATTCTCCATCTTCTCTCTCATCCTCTTTATTTTAATGAAAGGAATAACATGGTATATAAAATGGTTGTGGCATGGGGCTAGAGAAATCACTGAACTGGAAGCAGGAAAAGAGGGGATAGGCCTTTAGAAAGGGTGTTGACTTGAGGTTACTGAAAGATTTTGAATTTATAAAAGACTTAAGTGCAGAAATTCACTGATTAGGTATGGGGTGTTGTCTTGATGAACCAAGACAAACTGGGGCCTCTAGTGTGGTTGTCTCAGTGTTTGGTGATGCTGTTAATCGAGAGGGAAGTCAAATTAGGAAGTACTGATTGGGGTGAGTGCATATGCAGAGGTGATATGATGAATTCAGTTTGGAAGTATTGCCTTGAAGCTACCTGCAGGTGTAAGGTACCACTTAGAGGCATTTGAATCTAAGAACACAGAAAAAGACACTATTTCAAAATCTATACAGGCAAACTGCATCAGAAAATTTTTCAACAGAGCATATCCAAATCTTAATTAGAACTGGGATTCCAATTTATGAGGTAAGGTACTTACAAGAGTGAGGTAAATGGTCTCTCCTGGAGAATCCAGACATGGAGCTGGACACCACGATGAAGTTTGTGGCCCAGGAAAGGACAAGGGGCATGTCAGAAAGGAAGTACAAGCAGACACCTAACTAGAATCTCACAAGAGCAGAAGACCTGGGCCCAGAGGGCAGGGTCTGCACTACTCCTAAACGATCTTGATCACATCCAAATATTTAAAGGGAGTTCCTTTTTTGGAGAGGGCAACTACCTGCCTGTTCCCTCACTGTGCTTCAGAGTACAGGGCTAACAATGGATGCTGAAGATACAGCAGCATTTCTGTTAGTAGGAAAACAGGTAGAGTGAGTTTACCCTTGGAGTCCATTGAATCTCAGATCCAGATCTCTGAGCCAGAGAGAGCCGCTGTCAGAGGTCAGGAGTCACTACAGACCCTGGGTCCTACAGGTGGGGAACAGAGGGTCTCAACAAAGGGAAGACAAGGGATGCAGAGGCTGGACAGAGGGAGAGTATCACACAGACACCCCAAAGTTACTCACAAGACATTTAACCTTCAATGTTTGAACAAACCATCTGATTGTTTTATAATAGTCATTACTAATCAGGACAGCGTTGCAGTACATCTAAAGTGTTACACATGGGGTGTGTATCTTGACACTTCTTTCACAAATAAGAAATACTGAATTACTATAATAAGCCAATTGAAAGTTATTTTTACTTAAATCTGTCTTATTGATTTTTCCCCCATAAAAGCTTAGATTTATACCAGCGAGTAGGATTGCTGAGTTCACTCCCACCTGCCTTACTTCAACACTTAAGGTGAGTACTTAAAGTAGGTGAGAGCCACTTTTTGTCATATTTTCCATGTGAAAGATGAGTCTTATCAAGGGCCAAATGTTATATGAGATTCAGAGAGTGAAGCACTTAGATTTAATGCCATTGTTTTTGTTTTTGTTTTTTTTTAAGAGTGATATCTGTTTATTAGGGGAAACTTACAAAATAAAACATAAACAAAATTTAAGTCACCAATAATTTTACTGCCTGAGCATGATGACCATTTAAAATATTTTAATGTATTTCTTTCCAAGATTGTACGTGTGCATGTGGGAGAGAGAGAGAGAGAGAGAGAGAGAGAGAGAGAGAGAGATGGGGGAGGGAGGAGGAGGAGAGAGAGAGATTCAGTCCATGGATGTACATTTGTTTAGAAATTTGTTGTATATATTGTATGTACAATTCCTACGTTCTTTCTTGTATTTGCTAAATGTCATATAGTATCATATTTCTCAAATGTCTATTATCTAAAATTTAAAATTCAGAGAACATTTTGAACCTTAGAGCTTCTTTAAGAAAAATATTTATAAAGTCTTAGAGCCTCTTAGTCTTATCAGCCACACACACACAAATATACAAAAAACTCTTTGCAATTTTAATTATTAATATTTCTAAACAGGCAGGTGATGAGATTGAGAAGCCCCAGCCAACCTTTAAATAGATAGATAGATAGATGTAAATATTTATGTCTTTGGTTTCTTCACTATTCAAGTTAAAAACTGGAAACTTGTTGCAGAGTGTCTTTTTTTTTCTGTTTTCTTTATTTGCTTCTTCTGCTTCTGTATCAAGGAGTCAGGAACTGATAGAGTGTTTTAATACAAACTCACAATACAGTTCCTCTTATAGGAATTTTCTTAAAATCACTACATAGCTAAATTGCACAACCAGGCTCAGAATCTACTGACTTTACTTATACTAAATTATCATCATAGTCTGAGAGTTAGATCAGGAACAGGATTTTCCTGAAGTGGAGAACAGGAAAAATCATTTGCCAGTGACTCGCCATGAGAAATAAGTTCCTAATGTGTTGGCAAAATATTAATAAAAACCTACAATAATAATATACTCTCATGCCTTAAGATTTTACCTAAATATAAACAAAGTAGTATATACAACTGTAATGCGACTTTACTAAGTGTGGGTGGTTTATATGAAGGAAAATAAGAGCTGAACACTTACTTGAGCCCTCCCAATGTTGAGGAGAGGGTTCACTGAGCAGTAGTGGGTAATGATACGCTTAGAAACTCTACAGTGTCCCTCGTGCTACACTCTTTAGTCTTCTACTCGTTACTTTTGGCTTCTTATAGGAGAGAACAAACTCTCAGGAGCAGGCACATATAGACTAGTTCTCTCAGCAAGTGTGTCCTCCATTGGTTGAAGCCACAGCCAGGAAGGTGCAAGAAGCAGGATGTGAGATGGAATAGGGATGGGGACCGTCTTGCATGCACCAGGGAGCCAACAGCAAGTAAATCTTTGTGGGAGAAAGACAGAATGTAGTATGCCCTCAATCTGAGGTCTTCTGCAGCCTCAAAATCAGACCTCTTGGTTCAGCCCTGCTCTGCAGCTATTTCTGAATCAAATTCTTAATGAGTCATTACAGCAGTGTACACCTGCTAAAGTTGACTAAGCCTTTGATTTTTAAATGTTTTGTTAGCCACAAGAAATATCACCTACTGTAATATTAGGGAAATGGCAATTGATTATAAAGAAGCTGGCTACCAAAAAAATAAAAACATGCTTTTTGTTCTTCAAGGAAAATACCAAAACTCAGAAAATCAGACCTTCAGGTGTTGATTTGAAGCATGAATCTCTTTCACCCATTGAGCTTTCAGTCGGTCAAAGAAGCCAAAAAAGAAACACAGAACATACAGACTCTGATGTAGAGTATGTTTCGGATTATAAAATTATGAAAAAGTCTGTGCAAAAGAAGATGAAACCCCTACAGCAGAGACATGTGGTGCCAGAAAACATCCAACTAGCTGAGAGACCTCAGGTATTTTTTTCTTTTTTCTTATTCATAAAATGGATAACAATTCACTTGTTCTGGAAATAGCATTAGCTAAAGGTTTTTGCTTCATTTTCACATTTTTTTAAAGCACTCTAATTATAGGATATACATTGCAATCTGTGATTTCTGGACAGGGTCCCGATTTCTATTTTTTCCCTCCTGTATTCTCTGTTTTGGGAGAAAAGTCAGGTTGTTAATATCAGCACAGTGTCTGGAGAACTCAGCCAAGTGGAGGCCCCCAAAGAATGCCTGGGTGGGCAAAGGATTGTAGATCTCTATTTAAGAAAGAAATATTCATATAGAACAAACCTTAAGTTTTAGGATTTTGCATTCAAAACATTATAGGAAAAATGCTTAGCTAAAACATATAGGTTGTTACTCCTGTAGTCTAGGTTCTAGGAAATGCAGTATTACCAGGTACAATAGCATGTACCTATAATCCCAGCAACTTGAAGAACTGAGGAAGGAGGATTACAGGTTTGAGGCCAACCTGGGCAACCCAGAGAGACTCTGTATCAAAAATTTTTTAAAGAGCTGGAATGCAGCTCTGTGGTAGAATGCCCCTGAGTTCAATCTGAAAGGAAGGAAGGTAGGAAGGAAGGAAGGGAGGGAAGGAGGGAGGGAGAAGTAGGGAGGGAGGGAGGGAGGGAGGGAAGAGAGGAAAGGAGGGAGGGGGAAGGGAGGGAGGGAGAGAGGGATATAAGATCAATTTACAACTGTGTTGCTACTGATTTTAATAATTGTACCTCCCCAGAATTCCTCTGTTTTCACATGAGCTTGTTTCTTTTAGAATAATCACAATACATTCATTCTTACAATGTTACTATTATTTAATTCATTTTTGAGAATTTCCCCTAAGATTCTGTTTATAATAATAATAATGCCTACAATCAAATAGGCATTTACCCTGTGATCTTTCAGTGCTGAAAGATTATAAACATTATCTTACTCATTTTCATTTTGTATCTTTCATAAGCCAAAATTTATTGTCTAGGTTATCTACCTTGTTTATCATTTTTGGCTTCTAATGCCTTTTAACTATTTCCAGAATTTAAATTCACCCATAAAGGGCAGCTATGGGCCACCATGGCAGATACATGAATTGCCATAGGTTCACACAAATTGCGGTAGGCTCTCTGAAAACAGTGTAAATTTATCTGATAAGAAAATATCTACTGAGCTTCTGCCCTGGGTAGACACAGCATTAAGCACGGTGGGAGACAAGATATTTTGGGCATGGTTCTTTCAAAAGGAATTATTTTTGAACAATAGTTACTTTACTATCTCACACATTCCTTTGTTCTGTCTTTTGGCAAATAGTGTTCAGACTCTTTTTGAAAATCTTTAGTGAAAATCTTTACCCCCTGAAGAAGTCTTTTCTTATTCTCTTTTTGAGTAGCTCATCCTCTTAAAATATTTGAAATCCATTTCCCTGTAATTTGGAATTTTTGGTCCTTCATCTTTCTTGAAACTATAGGAGCCAAGCTGAACTTGTTTATCTATAGAATTTTATTTTTTCTGTGACTCTGAATTATCTGTCATATTTGAATATGTGGGTTCATACAGTCAGTAGGTATTTACTCAGTCCTTGCTGTGTTCAAAGTACTGCATGTTTATAATAGAAAAGGTGGTTTAATCGTATCTCCTTTAACCTTGAATTCCAGAAAAACTCATTAGCTGTGCATTTCAAGATCTTTGTATTTGGGAGCTTATTTTGTATACATGTTGTATGTTTTAAAAAACACATAATAGATTGAGAAGTAGAGAGTTTGCCCAAGTATTAAAACAACACACTTTGGACTCTGGATAGAGGGATTAACTTAGTCTAGTATGTATGTGTGTGTGTGTGTGTATATATATATATATATATATATATATATATATATATATATATATATATATACACATATGTAAAACTACACAAAGTAAATACATTTCCACAGTGTATATACATGTATATTTATATACACACTTTGTGTACCTTTATGTATTTATTTATACACACATGTGATGTTATTATGTTCTACTCAGTGTATCACCTTGGAAGGGGGTTCAACTGTAAACAAAGCCACATATAGTTCTGACTCTCATCAAACACAGTCTGATGATAAAGACAAATAATTCAGTAATTATTTGAATTACAAATGTAAATTGCAACTGTGGCAGCAGAATCCCCGCCCCCCACCACCAACCTCCCCCAAGATAAAGTCCCAGCCTGGCCTCAAACTGCTGGGCTCAAGTGATCCTCTTACCTCAGCCTCCCAAGTAGCTGGGACTAGAGGCATGTGCCACCACACCTATTTGTGGCAGTTTTTAGGACACAATAGCACAAGTGCTAATAATGGGGGATTCAACTGTATCTGACAGGAGAGTGATAGCTTCCCAGAAAAAAAAAAAAAATTAATTCCTAAGATTTTAGGATTGAATTCCAATTAAATTGGTATCAAAAGAGGAAGAACATTTCCAAACAATGCAAACAGCATTTGTTAAAGAGGGACACCATGATGAATACCAAGTGTTAAGACAGGCAGTGGCAGGACAGAGAGATGGAAAGGGGATGTGTAGGGAATAACTGAAACCATACAAGTCCTGTGGGCCTTGAGAAAGAAGATTTGCATCGATTCCCAAAGCAGTGGGAGGCCATGGGGAAGCTTCATGCAGGGGAGTGGTGTGACCATATTTTCCTTTAGAAAAGTTTGCTTTGGCTCAGTTAGGAAGTAAGGTTATTAGAGAGCAGAGGTGTTGAGAAAAGCATTCTCATGCCATGCAGTCTTTTGACCCCTGCTTGGCCAACTAATAATAATGGACCTTAAGCCTGGGGCATTTCCTTACCAAGAGATAAAGAGCCCACACAGTGTGCTCTAGTCTTATCTCCTTGTGTGGGAATATCCTTCTCTGTTGCAAGCCCAATGTATGCTCTCTGTTTAAGTGTTTGTTTCACAAGATCAACCCCACTACTACATTTGTCTTTCTTGGGGAGGAGAAGGGGCTACTGCAGCAAGAAAGGAATTTGTGTAGGCAATTTCCCTGCCTTGGCTACCAGGGTTCCTACTGGCACAGGGGAATGATGCACACTACTGAAGTTAATTTTGCTCTCTTCTTTCTCCGTAAGTAAGACATTTTTTTTTCCATCTAGAACTTGACTGCATTGTTTCCTTTGGAAATTCCAAAATGGAAAGTGTTTAGAGTACTCGCAAGAGATTGACAACCAGTGCATGGTATTCTGCTTAAAATTTATGCTTAATAAGAGTCATTAGGGCAGAGCAGCTAGGAGGCTTTAATGGAGAAATAAAGGTAGCACAGCCTAGGATGATGGTTGTTATGCTTTGTATGTGAAATGTTCGCCGAAAAGCTCGTGGGTGAGAAAATGCAAGAAGGTTTAGAGGACCAGTGACTGGATTATAAGAGCCTTAATCCAATCGGTGAATTAATACCCTGATGGGGATTAACTGAGTGGTAACTAAAGGCAGATAGGTTGTGACTAGAAGAGGTGGTCCCTGGTTGGTGTGCCCTTGATGTATATAAATTTGTGTCTGGTGAGTCTCTCTCTGCTTCCTGATCATTATGTGAGCTCCTTCCCTCTATCAATTTCTTCCACCATGATGTCCTGCCTCATTTTGGGCTCTGAGGAATGGAGCCAGCTGTCTATGGACTGAGACCTCTGAAACTATGAGCCCTCAAATGAACTTTTCCTCCTCTACAATTGTTCTGATCAGATCTTTTAGTCACAGCAGTGAAAAAGCTGACTAAAACAATGGTGGTGGGTTACACTGCCCCCCATCTTGGTGATACATTGGGTATAGAAGGTGAAGCAGAGGAATATGGCAGGAATGATCACAGATTTTTTTTTAGCTCTTTGACCTGCTTGGGTAGTAATCACATCCATCAAAATAGGGATCCTTGAAGGCTTGTAGATAGAAGCATGAATTCAGCTTACACGGTTTGAGATGTCACATATTTGAATCTGGATGTCAGAGCTGAGGTTTTACTAGAAGGCCTGAACTTATAAGGTACTCAGATACACAAGTATCTGCGTGTGAGCAGGGTTGAAGGGGAAGAAGAAAGAAGGACTAGTCAGAAACTTGGGGACTGGGGGACAGTTGTGCGCAGATGGTTTTGGGGGAATCACCTGAGCAGTAAAGGAATTAGGAATTTGTTATATCATTGAAGCCAAGAGGGGAAAAATCGTTCAAGGAGAGGTGGTCCAATGGGCTAAATCCTTTCGAGAACCAACTCAGCTGGCCAAAGACCTACAAAGGGCTGTTTGGCTTAATGACTTAGAAGCAATAAGAATGATTTCAGGAAAAAATTGTTGTTGATGAAGAGGTTGGAAACCAGATTAGAGAGCATTGATTAGTAAATGGGAGATGAAGAAACCGTTTGCATATCAATTCTTGGGAAGGTAAGCTGACTGTCACTTCAGAAGACAGTCTATACTTATGAAAATCAAGCAGTGAGGTGGACAAATAAGGAGGCCATGAAATTCTTTATAAGTACTTATGCTAATTTTATCAGGTTAAACTGCAATTGAAGCAATTTTGGATTACTTGAGGATTACTTGCTCATCTCCTGTCCAATAAACACACTAGGTATTGCCCCTAACAGACAGAGGAGGTGCAGGAAATGAAACTTAATTCCTGTATGAGTCTAAGCAGCATGGCATTAGGAAGACATATGTGCTCCAAGTAAATCTTGCCAAGTGATTCAAAAGTTTGATAAAAATGATTCTGGAATTAGTTAATATTTGGGCTTTTATGTATTACAGTTCAGGTCTATTAAGAGGAGTCATTCATGTGCATGGGCAAAAATGTAACAACGAATCCTGCAATTATGTATAATTATAATGTACCAGTAAAAATACAGAAAAAAAGACAAGTCATTAATTAGCTTATTGTTCTTCCTGGAGGATTGTTTTTATCACACCCTTGCTTTTCTCAGAAGGTTCCACTTTATTTATCTGAAATGATTTTCTCCCTATTTCATGAAGATAGAACTTTCAATAAAAATAATATGCTTATTGTTCCCTATATCTGCACCTTGTAATTCCTCCGAATTTTTCCCCAAGGCTGTTTGTAAGTTCCCTTCACTCAACAAACATATTAATCATTTTCTCTGAACCAGGTGCTGAAGACTCAGATATTAATCAAACACATCCCCCCACCCCACCCCAAGAAGCTGAGAGTCAACCTCTAGCCATTCTAATTAAGGGAGACCTTTTCCTGCATCATAAGTTTCCAACCTTTTCAAGTATGAAAATACTTTTTCAGTGTCACAAAATGACTGCAGACATTCCATGTGATAGTAACCATTGATTAATAGCTATATCTAGTCAGAGAAAACTATCGTAGATACTTTTAAATAAATGCCTATCTCATTTGTCTTAGCAACAGCTACCTAAGTTTGAAAAACAATGTACATCCACACAAGATGTTATTCAGTGTATAATGGTAATTCATGCAGGCCTTGGCAAAATACTGTAGCAACTTCGATTCACTTTTGAGCTCTATGGTCTGTGTGACTCATATTTACCTGATTTGCCTTGTGACATTCTTTTTTATTGTGTATTGTTAGTGAACTTCACATGTGTTTTTCTAAATTATATACATTTTAAGGACAAAGATCAGAAATTGAGTCTATGTTGTATATCCGAGGGATGTCATGAATCATGAGTGAAGGTGGTTTAATGTGTCATTGCTTGATCCTAATCTTTGCACTTTTTCTGTTAATACTTTACAATAGGCCTCTTCCGGGGAAATGAAAAGGAAACAGAGTCTCAACCTCACACAGGAATGTAAGGTGTTGAGTGAAATTCAGACCAGCGACAGTGATCCAGATATAATCCTGGTGAGATAAAATTTAGTGACTAAATAACACCTGAATTTTTTTTACATTTATGAAAATGAGCAGGATCATTAGTGCCTCAAAGTCACCAAAACTTTTAGTTGAGTAACCTAATTTTTTGAAGAAGAAGTAAAACTAAGAAGAGTTGTTTGTCACTTTCCCAAGGCTGTGTATCTAGTAGAGATAACTGGAACTTAGGCCTCCTGACCCCCTTGTCCCTGACCTCCTTTCGTTTCAATTATCATAGTGAGATAGGTTTTTAAAAATTTGTTCTTTTTAGTCACATATGACAGTCGAAACTATTTTGACATATTTATACAACCATGGAGTATATTCTTTTCTAACCAGGGTCCTAGTTTTGTGGATGTACACGATGTTGATTCACTGTGGTATATTCATATATATCCATAGGAAAGTTATGTCAGATTCATTCCACTGTCTTTACTCTTCCTATTCCCCCTCTCTTCCTTTCATTCCCCTTTTTCTAGTAGTCCAATTAACTTCTATTCCCCTCACCTTGTTATGGGTTAGCAACCACATCCGGGAACATTCAATCTTTGGTTTTGGAGGCTTGGTTTATTTCACTTAGCTTGAGTGTCTCCAGATCCATTCATTTACTGGCAAATGTCATAAAGTCATTCTTCTTTATGGCTGAGTAGTATTCCATTGTGTATATACCACATTTCTTTATACCACAATTTCTTTATCCATATTTCTGTTGAAGGACACCTAGGTTGGTTCTATAACTTAGCTATTGTGAATTGAGCTGCTACGAACATTGATATGGTTCTGTCACTGTAGTATGCTGATTTTAATTCCTTTGGCTATATACTGAGGAGTGATATAACTGGGTCATATGGTGGTTCTAATCCTAGTTTTCTTGAGGAATCTCCATACTGCTTTCCAGAGTGATTGCACCAATTTACAGTCCCATCAGTAATCTATGTGTACCCTTTCCCCCACATCCTTGCCAACATTTATTGTTACTTGTATTGGATCTTGATAATTGCCCTTCTGATTGGAGTGAGGTAAAATATCAGTGCAGTTTTAATTTGCATTTCTCTAATTGCTAGAAATGCAGTTGGTCAACAAATGTATGAAAAATGTTTAACATCTCTAGCAATTAGAGTTTTAATATACATTTGAATGTATAAAATTATAGAGATGTATATAACTTGAAGGTTATCTCAAAACTTCCTACCCCCAAATCCAAACCATACCTTTCTGTAATTCCAGCAAGTATAATTCTAAATTGATTTAAATTAGACCACTACCAAAGTCCTGATGAGAGAAGTCCATTCAATAAACATGGGCATGCTTTCCATTTGCTCCTCTAAAGAGTGTGTCCAGATTCTACCCTGATGGTTGATATCAAAGAGCCACATGTCCTGCCTAGTGTAGAGGTGTTGTGGCTTCACTGAGCTGAGGGTGTGTTGGGAGAATCCATTCAAGGGCTGACCATATGAGAAGCACTCCACGTGAAGCCATGTGTAAGATATTGTCTATTGTTATATAGTACCGTATGTGTGATGATAAAACACTAACATGTCTTTACACATTAGAATTTAATGCCAGGAAAGATCTATTTGGTATATTATTTTTGTTGGAGCATAAATTTTATTGCTGTATCTTTCTCTTTACCTCAATTGCTAAGAAGCTTACAGCTAAACTTTAACCTAGTGAAAATAGGTACAGTAGCCTAGATGGTTGCTATTTTTGACATAAGTCAAGAGTATTTATAAAAGAGCCTGGCATCATTGTGCATGTCTTTAGGTAAGGTACCTCAAGATGCTATTTAGAATTATGGATTAGGTTTCACTTACACTTGAGCCAATTAGGAACATATTATTGAACATATTATTTCTTCTGACTAGCCTAATTTCACCAACATCATTGTCACAGGGTACATGATATGACTGTCATGAACATCTTAGTTTTAGAATTTTCCATTGTAGAAAATTACAGACAGCTCTGTTAACTCCCGTGTGCCCATTCTCCAGGTTCCAACAGTGTTAGGCCCATATTAGTCTCATTTATCCATATTCCCTCCCTGTCCCCATTGTTCCCAGGCACTACATCATGTCATCTGAAAATTGTGATTGTCTTAAGAAGCCACTGGAAGGGATTTAGGAAAGGACTAGAAGTGATATTGACAATAAGAAAAACCATATATGGGATGGTTAGAAAGTAAACACCAAGTATTGCAAAAGGAAAAGAGTCAAGTCTTAGTCAGAGGCTAGAGAAGAGGACAACACTGCCACTAGTATTGTAAAAAAGGCCACCGCTTCTAAGCAAAGGTGTAGTGATACCTGTGAACATTACAAGTCATCCCTTGCATTACAGAATCTTTCAAGTTTCTGTGTATTTTTCATGTTGCCAGTACTTTGTCATCCTCTGACCTTTGCACAGAGATTTCAGCAAGTGCTTTTTCATGAATTAGCTGTGACATGTATATTAAAAATATTGTTGTCTTTTTATGTAGCATTTCTGAAGTTTTTAGGTTAGTTGTGGGTATGTGTGTGGTATATGATTTATTTATGTCTCTGTGATCTTAGCAGGAAGTCTTGCTTTCAAAATCATGACATCTAATTAATTTGGATAAACATACATTATCCAGATGTGCATTGATTTCTCTGTCTGTAGGTAGAATGATTCAACTAGGAAGTAATTACTTTAGAAAGCTTATCTATTAATGGGGGCTATGTCCATTGTCTTATTGGGGGGTCTTCCTCCTGCCCAGAGGATGTAAGCCACCCTAAAACTTAAAGTCTCAGATAATTAGTGAAGAACAAAACACAAATAGAAATATATTAACAAAAGTGAAGCTCTTGATAAATCTAGTCCACATGGGTGCTGAACTAGACAAAGGAAAGGTGGATCAAAGGTTTATTTAAAGGGGTGCATCAAAGGCAGGGATAAGGTTTCAAGGGTGGAGTCTTACTTTGTGATGTCTTATAGTCAGCAGGTTGATTGAAATCTTGGCAGGTCACACCCATCTCAGCTGCTGTGTGGGATTTTGGGCAGAGCTTGAGCAGGAAGTTCACCTGCATCAGGTGGGCAATCTCTGTGGGGGGAGGGTGCTACAGGAAGTTGCCAATGCCAGATTTATCCCTTTTATCCCTTCACTAAGCTGTGATGAGCAACATAGTCCACACCCAACCCATGGATGGCTCCTGACAGTTTATACTTTCTTAAACTCAGAAATTTAAAGAGAGAGAGAGAGAGAGAGAGAGAGAGAGAGAGAGAGAGAGAGAGAGAGAGAGGTTCTTCTTAACACCTATCTTCCTTGGAGTGCATGGAGGGGTGTTCTACTTGCTGCCTGTTAAATTTGAAGAAGTAAGGCACTCAGTGCTAACAGGAGGTTGCCACTTAGGAAGAAAAATTATCTATAGCACAGAACACACTCCTCCTACCCTCCAAAGCAGTATTTATTATTTTGGTGAATTTACTGGGTTGGAATCCATGTCTTTATTTTTAGGTTTAAAAGCCTCAGAAATAAGATATGTTCAGCATACCAAAGAAAATCCAATTCACAGGGATGATTTTGCATTATCCCAACTCATGATGTATGATAGCATAATGACAGTTTAGCCATTTAAAAGATAAATACAGCCTTCATTCAACTGGGCAGCGCATATTGATTTAAGCTATACATTCTTTCCTTTATGCCAACTTTCATGGGCTGCCCAGTTACTCTCTGATGGTATTTGAATACTTAAAAGGCTTCCATCTAAAATAGCCTGTTATGTACTTTTCCAAAAGGGATGAGAGTGATGACGTTACCAAAGCAACTGTAGCCAACAGGGCACTGTCTCAGGGCGCCCTTTTCCCACGCCTGCCTGTGCCCCAGTATTGGTGTCACCTTGTCTGGAGAATAACTCCATTCGGATTGATTGGCACATTTTTTTCCCTTTATCATGCAGTCAGTAGTGTCTATAAGTCTGCCCTTTGAAAGATTTTTCTTTCTTTCTTTCTTTTTTTTTTTTTTTTTTTTTGGTACTAGGGATTGAACTCAGGGGCACTTGACCACTGAGCCACATCGCCTGCCCTATTTTGTATTTTATTTAGAGACAGGGTCTCACTGAATTGCTAAGTGCCTCACTTTTTTGCTGATGCTGGCTTTGAATTTGCAATCCTCCTGTCTCAGCCTCCTGAGCCCCTGAGATTATAGGCAAGTGTTACTGCACCTGGCTGAAAGGTGACTTTGTTTGTCTGTTTGTTTCATGTCAGGGTACCTGATTTCCCTCTCTTCCAAGTTCTGAGCAACACCTCACTATGGCTCTTGCACCAACAGTTTATGATTTCAACTGAAATGATAGTATTGATTACTTTTCAGATTTATATTTAATTTTACCGTTGCTGATTATTTCAGCCAAATGATCACTCCTCCAAAATCACCTCCCTGCTATGGCTCAGTGTTATAACAGATTGATGGATTATTTCTTCCTTCTCCTCTTCCACCCAATTCTCGGTTGAATGATTTTTCTTATAACTTTAACACCAAGGCCTGTGGTCTATTAGAGCTGTTTTTAAGAACTGTATTCTTCTTTTGTTGCTTCTCTCCCCAGTGGGATTATCCTTGTTTTCTGATCATGTTTAATGTCTAGCTCCCTGTTATCCACCGTGCCTCACATTTAACACACTCTCAAATGAGTCATGAGCTGCTGAGCTCATTTGTTCTATCTTCAGTTGCTGCTGGTCATATAGATTCTTGGTGTCACTTCCTTGGCATTTCTCCTTTTTTATATTAATTTATGCTTGGCCTTTAAGCCAATGCTGGCCATTCATTTCCACAGTCCATGTGATGAGCATGTTCTTGCTAAGACCTTGCACATCATTTGGAGATGTGGAAGTTTCCAACTGGGATTCAGTTAAAGCTTTGGGCATTTTCTAGAGATTAAAAAACTGTCATGAAAATAATGAGCAGTTTTTTAAAAAGACATCTTAATCCTCTTCAAAACACCCTAGTTAGCCTCCCAGTCAGACCTTTGGAGCATTTGGTG